AGTTAAAGAGTTTGACTCACTAGAAAATAAAATAATTAACTCTAATGATAAAGTATCATTTGCAGAAAGTTAAAGCAAATTGGTGGGAGAAATGTAAGTGACTTTTTAAAAAATGCTTTAAAAACTTGTTTAACAGACAAGCTGTGCTGCAGCATTAATCAAACTGGTGCAGATAAAAAGCGTAAGTTTATAGGACCAGTCGAAAGTTTGATTTTTGATGCAGCTTACTGTTTATTTCCAACTGCCACTGAATCCAATATGACTACAATAATTGCGAAACACTTAAAAAAGTCTAAAGATCGTTATTTTGCTGCAAGAAAGAGAAATTCTTCTTTAACAAGTGATATACAAATACACAGTTCTGTTAGAAAAAAAAATTTAAACACTGACTCATGTAGTGATTCTAGTTAACTTATTTTTTTTTTGTTTATTTATTCTATTATTTTTTATTGACTTTTTTTTTTTTTAGATATTTTATTTGTTACAACTTTTTTAGCAATTATTTTCGAAAATTGATAAAGATTAAAAAAAAAACTAAAATTTGACAGAAATTTTATTCTATTATCTTTTTAAATATCTTTTGAAATTATTAATTTAATTTAGGCAAAATCATTTAGTTGTTAATGACTTTTTATTTTTCAAAAGTAATCTACAACTTTTCTTTTAACATTTTATAATGGCTTTAACGTTTATAACTTTTTATGGAAACAAGTATTAACATTTTGTATTTAATTTGTTACAAATGCAATCATATTTTAATGGTTATAATTCACTCCCCTGAAAAATATAGCACGCGATTCTTTGAGCATATCTTCTAACCTAGCCGAGATTTTCTAGCCAAGTCGATGTCATTGTCGTAACGACTTAATGCTAGCTATTCGCTAGCTTATTTAGCTAGCAATCCTCGTGGCCATACCGCTGTCTTTATCGTAACGACTTGTCGCTAACTTGTTTAGCTAACGGATCGCTAGCTTATAAAGCTAGCGATCCTCGTGGCCAAATCGCTGTCTTTATCGTAACGACTTAGTGCTAGCTATTCGCTAACTTATTTAGCTAGCGATCCTCGTGGCCATATCGCTATCTTTATCGTAACGAATATCGCTAGCTGTTCGCTAGCTTGTTTAGCTAGCGGATCGCTAGCTTTATAAGCTAGCGGATCGCTAGCTTATAAAGCTAGCGATCCTCGTGGCCAAATCGCTGTCTTTATCGTAACGACTTAGTGCTAGCTATTCGCTAACTTATTTAGCTAGCGATCCTCGTGGCCATATCGCTGTCTTTATCGTAACGAATATCGCTAGCTATTCGCTAGCTTGTTTAGCTAGCGGATCGCTAGCTTTATAAGCTAGCGGATCGCTAGCTTATAAAGCTAGCGATCCTCGTGGCCAAATCGCTGTCTTAATCGTAAAGAATATCGCTAGCTTGTTTAGCTAGCGGATTGCTAGCTTATAAAGCTAACGATCCTCGTGGCCAAATCGCTGTCTTAATCGTAACGAATATCGCTAGCTATTCGCTAGCTTGTTTAGCTAGCGGATCGCTAGCTTATAAAGCCAACGATCCTCGTGGCCAAATCGCTGTCTTAATCGTAACGAATATCGCTAGCTATTCGCTAGCCGATTTCCCACCGGGATTCTACGACTACGAAAGTCTCTTTAACGAATTTAAATATAAGAATGATTAAAGTTAATGCATTTAAAAAGATAAACAAAATTTCGTTAAAAAAAAAGTTTTAGAAAGCCGTTACAATTTAATAAGTTTGATCTTAAATGCTTTTTTATTATCGAAACGCTTTTAATAAAGTAAAAAAAAAAAAAAAACACTTCTAATTAATTTAAAAAAAAGTATCTATAAAATGTTTTTTTATTTTATTCATATAACTATGTATTTTTTATGAGAAATATTTAATTTTGAACATATTAAACAAATAAAAAATATATAAAAATGTTGAAACAAAGATTAAAAAGGTTTTTTAATGCGTAAATTAAATAGACTAAGCATTTTAGTTTGATGAGTTTTGTTTTAGTTGCGTTATATATATATATTTATTTTTGTCTGTTTTTGCTTTAACTAAGTATTTTTTTTTTTTTTTATTTTCTCTTTCATTAATATTTATTATTTTTTTAAATTTTTTTTTCAGATAAGTTTTTGTAGCGCCTTTTTAAACTTTAAAAACATGCCGTGGTCAAATCGTTAAAACCTTTTTTTTTTGCGTGGTCATATAAAGACATGAAATCGCACGTCTTCCTGTGAAAGCCTGTTTAATGTACATTTGTCTATTTGAATATTTAAAGTATTTTTTTCTATTTGAAATTTTTATTAAAAAATAATTAAAATGTATTTTATTACCGATTTATCTTTTGATTTTTTCTAGTTTTTGGACTTTTTTTTGTCTTTTTTTTAAATATCATTTAACATTGAAGTAGTATAAACATTTTCAGTTCTCTAAAGAATCTCATAAATTTCCTTTATCTAATAGTAGCTTTCTTTCACTTCTTTCCACTTTCTTTCTGTATGTACTACCTTCTTCGTGTGGAAAGACACGCACCAATTCTTCTCCATTTATATAATTTTTAGCAAACTAAAATATTTAAGTTCTCATATATATATATATATATATATATATATATATATATATATATATATATATATATATATATATATACATATATATATATAGAATACTCCACATGATATACCATCAGCTTGTATAGCATGTGGTAATGTTAATATTTCAAATTTTTCTGAAACACCATATCTTTGTTGTAAGTAACAACTACAGTATAATAGTGAAAATATTATAAAAGATGTAAATACAAATTTTATTATTTATTTATTTTATTTTTATTTTAAGTTTATTTTTTGTTCCTTAATATTACAAATTCGTAACCACATAATAAAGATTTGTTAACAGTGAATATATAAATAAAAACAAAATATTACAAAGTGGTTTTACAAAAATAATAAACTCACTCTAACACTGTAAAAAGAACGCGGAAAACTTGCAGAAGACCAAATGGTCTTATCATCAATTCCTTGTGTAAACAAAAACAGAATACAAGAATTATGCAAATTTATTTGAGAAACTTAAAAAAACCGCTAAAGCTACTTATTATAACAAACTTCTTAAAAAGTGTCAAACAGATTCCAGAAAAAAATGGCAATTATTAGATGAAGTAATTGGAAAACCAAAAACTAGCAAACCATGCTTTCCTAAGACAATAAAAACCAACCACAAATCAATTGATAATGAAAACGACATTGCAAATGAGTTTAACAACTTCTTTGTTAATATAGGATCTAAACTTGCATCTCAAATTCCTTGTGTAAATAAATCTTTTGATAAATATTTAATTCGTAATAGAAATAAACTAAATAACGAAAAACTAACCATGCTAGAAATTGAAGAGGCTTTTAAAAGCCTTAAAAGAAACAAGGCTACTGGAATTGACGATGTCAATAGCAACATAGTAATTAACTGTTACAATGAGCATAAAAATCCTTTATTCAAAATTTTTAAACACTCTTTAAAAGAAAGGTATATTTCCTGAAAAACTAAAAACTGCTAAAGTAAAACCTATATTTAAATCAGGAGATGCAAGTGAAATAGGTAATTTTAGACCAATATCAATACTTTCAACATTCTCTAAGATACTTGAGAGAATTATGCACAATAGGTTATATACTTTTTTTAAAGAAAACACTCTTATTTATTCCAAGCAGTTCGGCTTTCAAAAAAATACATCAGCTGAACACGCAATCCTTCACTTGGTTGAAGAAATAAAAAACTCCTTTTACAAACGGAGAAGTTACTTTGGGGGTTTTTGTAGATCTCTCGAAGGCTTTTGATACAGTCGACCACAAAATATTATTATCAAAGCTTAATATGTACGGTATAAGGGGTAGATCCAACAAGTGGATAGAAAGCTATTTAGATAAACGTATGCAATATGTATATTACGGAGACAGTAAACTCTCTAATCCGTCTATAATAGAGTGTGGTGTACCTCAAGGTTCAATACTTGGGCCCTTGCTTTTCTTAATCTATGTAAACGATCTCTGTATGGCTTCAAAAAGAACTTCAACTATAATGTTTGCTGACGATAGCAACTTTCTTATCTCTGGAAAATATAATAGCGAGCTGTGCGTAGAAATGAACAATGAATTAGAAAAGATTTCAGAGTGGTTTAGGGCAAACAAACTCTCCATTAACTCAAGTAAAACAAAGTTTTCTTTATTTCATCCTTCTTTTAAAAAAAAAGAAGTTCAATCTTTTTTTCCGAAATTGTTTATTGAAAATAGAGAAATAGGTAGGGATACTGTTACGAAATTTTTGGGTGTTTTTATTGACGAAAATCTAAATTGGAATAAACATATCGCTTATATAGGTAGTAAAATATCCAAAAGCATAGGAATAATATACCAGTCGCGTTATTTATTAAAAAAACCACTACTCAAACAAATCTACTATAGTTTTGTTTAAAGTTACCTAAACTACGGAAATATAGCTTGGGGTAGTACCTATAAAACGAAACTAGAACCACTTTATCGTAAACAGTAGCACGTTATACGTGTGATTAATTTTAAAAATAAAACAGAACACTCAAAACCTCTTTTTGAACAAATGTCTTTATTAACATTGTTTGAACTAAATGTATATAATGTTCTAAGTCTTATGTATAATAGCAAAATGCAAAAAAGTCCTTCAATTTTCTATAGTCTTTATAAACAAAAACCAGAGTACAAATATTTTTTGCGTACAAATAGTACCCTGTTAGAGCCTTCATGCAAAAATAAGCTTGAACAATTCAAAATGACTTATCGTGCACCTCATATCTGGAATAAGTTTTTACTAATTTAAACAATATTGATTTAAAAAACTTAAATTGCTTTAAAAAAACTATTAAAAAGAGTATTTTAAAGTATAAAAATTTAGTGATTTTTTTTAAACTTATTTATAAATATTTTCTTTTTTATTTAATATAAATATATTTTCAACATTGCGATTTTACAAAACGATTTTTGTAAAAATATATTTGTATACTTGTTATCTGACATTTTAATACCATTATAATTTAATGATTTTATGTAAAAATTTTATGAATATGTTTTTATATTTACGGCAATGTAAAGCGGTATACGGCAATGTAAAGCGGTATTACGGCAATGTAAAGAGGGTATACAATCTTGTAAGAACTCCAAAAATAGATATTGCACTGATAGATGACAGTGCACCATCAACAATAACAAGATTCAGTGAATGATTTGCACATGGAACATATATAGCCTTTGGGTTCATTTCTAGAAGCCTGGCTTGAACACCTTTAAGTTTTCCTTTCATGTTAGCACCATTATCAAAAGATTGGCCTCGACAATCAAGAATATTTAGATCCCATTTTTTTGCCTGATTTAAAAAGGCATCCAAAAGCTCTTTTCCAGTGGTACCATTTACTGTGAGATATCCAAAGAAATTTTCGGAAATGCTAATACCTACTCTAGAAGTACATGTCACTGATCTTAAAATTATGCTCATTTGTTCTTTGTGCAAAACGTCTGGCGTGCAATCTAAAATAACCGAATAGTATTTTGCTTTTTTTACCATAGAAAGGTTTTCTGATTCAATCTCCTAAACATCGGCGCTAAGGTTTTCTGATTCAATCTCCTAAACAATCTGGCGCTAAACATCGAATCAACTCGTTCTGTGTGTCATTGCTCAAATAGTGAGCGTTTGTTTTTTTGTCCTGAATTCTTAACAGAAGCTCCTTGAGGACGGCATCGTACTTAGCCAGTAATTCAAACACCCCAAGAAAATTCCCATTGCTCTTTGAACCAATTGCCGTGTCTGAACCACGGAATGCAAGATTTCTTGCTGAAAGAAATAACATAATGTCCAGTATCCTTTTTAACACAGATCTCCAAAATACCCGCTCTTTATGAAGCAACGTTTGTTGTTGCTCGTCTATGGTAGCTTGATTTGCTATGCCTGCATTGTCAAAATTGATAAAAAATTAATATTTTAGCAATAAAAAAAATAACAAAACAAGTTAAATGAAATATCAGTTACCTTTTCGTAATGTCATCCAATGTTCAAAGCACTTTAAATGTGCACTGCGTGTTTCGTGTTCTTTAAGTTTTTTTGATAAGCCTTCCCACGTGTTTATTCCTTTTCGAAATGGTGAAGAAGTTATCCCAAAAAGTTTGCAACAGAAACAAAACACTTTATCACTATTTAAAGAATATATAAGCCATGATCTTTCAAAGATTTCTCCATTTTTCATTTTGCGGTTATAATAACTCATGGAAAATCGTCTTCTTTCTGAATTTTTTGGAAAGTCGATTTCAATCTTTTTTAAACCTCGTTTAACAACATCACACTTCTGAGCGTCAGAAACATTATCAGGCCAATCAGAAGGATCATCACTGAGAAATATTAGTGGATTTGTTGTGGCATTTGATTCACAGATTAAACCATGACTTACATTTGACTTTGCATTTGAGTCATAGATTAACCCATCTAGTCTAGTACCCAAATAATCACAATCAAAATTATTTGTTGATATCAAAACACTGCTAGCCGGAACTTTTGGTTTTAAAAAATGTGTTAGCTTGGGGTATTTCATGATTTTCTCCATGGCTGCAGCTTTTTTTCTTCTTTTAGTGGCACCACTTTTCACTTTTTTCATTCCAATAATTCCAAAATATTGTAAAAAACTAAGAAAGATAATTTCATTTTTTGCTAGGCATAAAACATAAGTAATAGAAATAATAGTAATAAAATAAACTTTACCGTGGTGAATTGGTAAACAGTTGAATTACCAGCAAATTATAGTTAATCAATAAATAACCTAATTAAAAATAATAAATTCGCTTGTAATCATAAAATAAGCGACATAATTTGAAATATATTTCCCCACGAAACGCTGTTTAATGGTTTCTCATTAGCGCGCTAGTAACATCAAACAAACCGCTAAATAACATCAGACAAACCGCTAAAATAACATCAGACAAACCGCTATAGTGGTTTCTCAAAAAACTTCTAACAAAACAAAAGAACTCGGGAGTGTAAATTGTTTTTGCGTAAAAATGACTTTTGCCTTTTTTACTTTTTAGCATGCATAACTTAGTTAATATAATGGTTAAAATGCAAATCTTTTTACTTCACTTAAACCCTTTTAAAAGATATTTTAACTTTTAAAAGATATTTTAACTTTAAAGTTAAAAGATATTTTAACTTTTAAAAAGGGCCCCTAAAAATACTGCCCCCTCCCCCAATTGGGGGGTTTGGGGGTGCATAGCCACGGCTCTGTATATATATATATATATAAATATATATATATATATATAATATATATATATATATATATATATATATATATATATATATATATATATATATATATATATATATATATATATATGTATATATATATATATATATATATATATATATATATATATATATATATATATATATATATATATATATATATATATATATATATATATATATATATATATATATATATATATATATATATCGCTAGCTAATCGCTAGCTCGCTTCCCACCGGGATGTCATCGTTTATATAAACAAAACAATTTTTTATTTTTTAATAAGATTTATTTTAGAAATGAACACTTAAACAATTTATATGTTTTAAATTAAAAAAATATTCACAACTGTCATATATATTTAAAAAACAAAACTTTTTTTCAGTAAATTGTTACTTTATTTAAAATCGTTTCGCTAATATAAAAACATTTGTTAAAATGTTTTGATGTAATTAATTTCACTTTTTTAGAATATTTTTTATTTAGTGCGTTTCTCAGATGTTTTTTGAAAAAGCCGCGGTCAAACCGTCATAGCAAAATGTAACTTGCGTGGTCATATAAAGACGTGAAATCGCACGTCTTCCTGTGAAAGCCTGATTAAATATTTATTTTTAGATAAAATGTGATATTTGCATCTTGCATCGATGGTACCATATGGGATGCATTGTTTTTAGAAATGAAACTTTATTTTGTTGTGAACATATTTTGTTGTGAACATATTTTGTTGTGAACATATATACATTTATATATAAATGTTATAATAAATGAAACTTTAAAAATTGCAGTTATTTCTTTTTCTTCTAAATTTTTTGTAAATTGAACCAAATTAAATGTTTATGCACTAAGAGTTAAAAACACAAATAAGTGAACTTTTTTTTTCTCAGTTTCAGTGACTTCTTGTATTGTTATAATACTTTAACTTATCGAAAACCATACATAAAACATACATATATAATTGTCATAAGCCATACATATGAATTGAATGAACAATAATACATTTTTAATTTGTTAGCTCAATTAAATATAAAAAAAAAATGAAAAAAGACTGTTTGAGTAATCTCTGCATATTTTGAAAATAACAGCTAAAATTCTATACCATTTTATGCTAACTTTATTTATAGTATATTAGTAGAAAAACGCTTTTATGAATCTCGTTGCGTTTTTATTATATTGTTTATAATTGAATGTTTCGGGTTAGCAATATATAGTAGAAGTCAAAAGTACACCTCGTTTTCAAAACTAATTTAATTGCCGTAGTTTTAGTTTGTACGTTGTACGTTGTACTTTTGACTTCTACTTTAAGATTTATACTTATAGCACAAAATTAGCGTTGTACTTTTGGCTTCTATTTAAGATTTATACTTGTAGTATAAAACTAGTAATGTACTTTTGACTTCTATTTTAAGATATATACTTACACTCTAAAAACAGTCCGTTAAGAAAAGTAACGGGTTGCGCTTTTTCGTTAAATTAACGGATTAATTCGTTACCAAAAACTAGAAAATTAACGGAGTAAAATTAACTATTTACGGATTCTTTGAAATTTCGTTAATTCAACGGATTAAATATTTTAATCAGTGAAAAAAAATTTTTCAGAATAGCTTTTTATTTTGAAAATGATAAAGTTTTGAATGCGTTTGTCTCACATTTACATTTACATCGTAGATAAAAGTTGGTTGCAGTAAGTGTAATGTGCCATTTTTTAAAAAGCTTTACATTTAGTAGACAAAGCAAATGGATAAGTATAATTTAAATTACGCTCTGTTATTTGTAATTTCGAAGGTTATTTAGATTATTTTAAATTTTCTATATAAAGCTTTATATAGAAAATTTAACAATAAGGTTTATTTTGTTTTAAATTAAAAGCCATTAGTATTACTAAATAATATATAATAACATATATGGTAAGTTGATACATATCATATATGGTAAGTTACTACATGTCTAAATCTAGAAAATTATGCAAGAATATATGCAATCCATATAGTCTATGTTATAGAAATAAAAGTTCAACTAATCCTTTACTAGTAGTACAGGGTTAGTTGAACAATTATTTCTATAATATAGACTAAATGGATTATTTATAGTCATTTTTAACTTTATATTTTAGACATATGACATGTAGTAACATACCATATTAGTTTAAATCAGTTGTAAAATTAAAAATGTTAACATCTTTGATAGGTATATTTATTTAGTTTAGTTACAGCTAAGTTTACATGGCTAGTTAATTTGCTTTTATAAACTGCAATTTTAATTAACTTCCAAATTAAACATGTGGCATCCAATATCATAAACTAAGTTTATACTGGTGTGTTTATATTATTTTAGAATTTTTTGTTTTAGACACATGGCATTTGCTATCCCACTGTAAGTTAAAACTAGTTGTAAAATTAAAAAATTTATATTAAAACTTCTCCCGGTGGGAAATGAGCTAGCGACTAGCTAGCGACTAGCTAGCTTTATAGCGATTTTGAAGCGATTTTTTTTTTCTTATTTTATTTTTTGCAAATGTCTTTAACATCTTTAAAAATTCGATTTTTAGTGGTGAGTCTAATATAATTTTGAAAATAATTGAACTTTAAACATTGCGATTTTGTAGCAATGTGTCGCTAGCTACATATCGTAGCTTTGTAGCTAGCTACAAAATATCTACAAATCTATAGCTGGTTGATAGCTACATATCAAAATTTTTTAGACAACGATTTTATTACAATATGACGCTAGGTACAATAGCCAGTGGATCTTCAGCTTATTAAGCTAGCTGTCCTCATAGCCAAATCGCTGTCTTTATCTTTAAAAATATCGATAGCTTTTCGCTAACTTAAAAAAGCTAGCGATCCTCGTGGCCAAATCGCTGTCTTTATTGTAACAATTATAGCTAGCTATTCGCTAGCCGATTTCCCAGCGGGCTATTTCTTTTAACATTCATGTTTATTTAATTGAGTTACAACTAAGGTTATATATGAGTTATTTATACTATCTTAGTATTTGCTGCTTTAGAGGTACGGCATTTAGTGTCACATTGTTGGTTTAAATTGGTTGTAGAATTTATATTGTAACTTACATATTTATTTAGCTGAGTTTAATCTAAGTTTATATTTGATGTGTTTGTATTACTTTAAAATTTACTGTTTTAGACACGTGGCATGTGGTATCCCACTGTAAGTTTGAATTAGTAAATTTAAAAAAATATATATTTTAACTAAGTTTGTGTATGGCTTAGTTGTAATATATTAATATAATACAACTAAGTGTGTGTATGGCTTGTTTATATTATTTCCGAATTTGCTATTTTAGACACTTGGTATGAGCTGTCATACTGAAAGTTTAAATTGGTTGTAAAATTTATATTGTAACTTGCATTTCTATTGGCGTGCATATTTATTTAGTTGAGTTTCAACTATTAATAATAATAATAAAAAGTTTACATCTGGTGTGTTTATATTATTTTAGAATTTGCTGTTTTAGACACGTGGCTTGTGATATCCCACTGTAAGTTTGAATTAGTAAATTTTAAAAAAATTGTATTTTAACTTGCATTTTTTTTGGCATGCATATTTATTTAGTTTAGTTAAGACTAAGTTTATATTACACTTTTTTAATTATTATTCTACTATATTCTATATTCACTATTATTTTAGAATTAGCTATTTTAAACATGTGACAAGTGGTATGACACTGTAAGTTTAAATAAGTTGTAAAATTAATTTTTTATATAGTTGCTTGCGTTTTTTTTGGTCTGCATATTTAATCTTGTTTTGATTTATCATAGTTTTTAAAAGGTTAGAGACCTTATTTTTTGCTTCTGATAGGTATTGATGTATGTGAAATGTATAGAGTCTTTCAGTTATCAGATAATGTCAAGGTAATCTTATACTTTTTTTTTTATTTTACATTTTAATAAAGATATAATTTACTTGTTCCATTTAACTTTATCTTTAGAAAACGATATCAGAGATAATTAAAATAACAAAATTTAGAATAGAAATTTATATATAATGAATTACCAAAAACATTTTCTATAGTGCTATCAGTAACATTTTATTTTGGTTTTATAAAGTTATTAAGTTTCCATATTTTCCTTATTTTATTTTATATTAATCTTTAAGGAGTTGACAGCATGGTGTCCTATTTAAAGTGCGAACCTGTGTACGAGTAACAACAGTATTCAAAACCAAAACCTATTTAAACCAACCAAACCAAAACTAGCGACCAAAAACTAATATCTTGGCATTGGTTTATTTTAAACATCTATTATATATATGTGTGTGTTTTATATAAATGTACTAGCTTGAGTATAGTGTATTAAAAATATTTTTTTTAACTATTTTTATTGTAATTTAAAGTATATTGGATTAAATATTATAAATATTTGATTAGTTTTCAATTTTTGGTTAAAACGTTTTAATGTAGAATATCGAAATAAAATAATGCAATTAAATAAAAATGCAAACATTAACAAATATAAGGATTATTTGGTTATGAAGTCACAATTCTGGCCTTTTTAATTTTAGATTTTAGTGATTTTAACGAAATAATCACTAAAATAACTTATTAACACATTTATTTCATAGGAATAACAACCGCGGAAAATTTGCTGCCTAGTTTAATAACTCCTTAATTTTAACGGATTACTCGTTGCACTAACGAAATAAATCCGTAAATTCAACGGACTATTCCTAACAGAGTTCAATTCGTTAAAATTTTATTTCGTTAACTTAACGGATTTCCCGTTAGTGCAATAGCAACAGATACAATTCGTTGTATATAACGGATTTTTTCTTAGAGGTGTATAGTACAAAACGAGCGTTGTACTTTTGACTTCTACTGTAAGAAATATACTTTAGTGTAAATCTAGCGACGTACTATTGATTACTATTACAAAATTTATACTTAAAGTACAAAATTTGCGTGTACTTTAAACTTCTAATTAAGATTTATACTTATAGTAAAAAGACATATACTTATAGTATAAAACGAGCGATGTACTTTAGACTTCTATTTGTAAGATTTATACTTATAGTATAAAAATATATACTTATAGTATAAAACTACCCGACGGGCATTTGTTTTTAAAAGTTACTTTCTAAATGTGTTTTAAATGTCTTTTAAACGTCTTTTAAACATTAATGTTTAAAAGACGTTTAAAAGACATTTAAAATACATTTAGATCGTAACTTTTAAAAACAAATGCCCGTCGGGTAGCGTTGTACTTTTCACTTCTATTGTAAGATTTATACTTATAGTATAAACTAGTGATGTACTTTTGACTTCTATTTTAAGATATATACTTATAGTACAAAACGAGCGTTGTACTTTTGACTTCTACTGTAAGAAATATACTTTAGTATAAACCTAGCGATGTACTATTGACTACTATTATAAAATTTATACTTAAAGTACAAAATTTACGTGTTCTTTAAACTTCTAATTAAGATTTGTACTTATAGTATAAAACTAACGATGTACCTTTGACTTCTATTGTAAGATATATACTTAGAGTATAAAACTAGCGATGTGCTTTTGACATCTATTGTAAGAACTGACACCTACTGAAAGATTTATACTTAGCACAAAATAAACGTTGTACTTTTGACTTCTATTTAAAATTTAAACTTATAGTAAAAAACTACCGTTGTACTTTTCACTTTTATTGTAAGATTTATACTTATAGTATAAAACTAGCGATGTACTTTTGACTTCTACTGTAAGATTTTTACTTATAGTATAAAACTAGCGTTGTTCTCATCGTGAAAAAGAGAAATGATGCAGTTAAAGTCCGTAATTTAAAGTTACAGAATTTCTTCTTATCATAAATACGGAGAAAATCATAAAAAATGATGTGATTATTTCAAAAGTTTTAAAAGTATAGGTAAAATACCGTAGTTTATTGAAAACTGAATTTTTCAGTAACATAACAACGGAAAAAGTCTGATAAATACTACGGAGTTCTTTCACAGTGTATTATATATATATATATATACATATATATATATATATATATATATATATATATATATATATATATATATATATATATATATATATATATATATATATATATATATATATATATATATATATATATATATATATATATATATATATATATATATATATATTAGGATGTCCCAAAAACACACTTTTTTAAAAATTTCAATGTGCTCTCAACTGATCCCCATTCTATAGGTCCTAAATAGCTACCAAAATCTTTTTTTTAACTTTTTAATGACTAGAAGTGATAGATGTAAATTCTGAGTTTTACGGTTTTGTACACATATGTGAATTTACTAAAAAACAGCGCTATCTAGTATTTCAATATGTTTTATTATGATGTAATAATTAGTACACAAATAACTCTAATAGGATATTATTAAAGAATAGGATCATTCCCTATGATCCTATTCTTTAATAATATGATCCCTATATTGTTAGCGATTGATATTTTTCCCTCTGGACAATATTATTAGTTGGTATAATTCCCCATGGATTGATTCACAAATAACTCTATTTAGAAATTTTTTTGAAGGAGAAAAATTCTAAATGGAATTATTTGTGCACGACGGAATTCTAATTTGTGCACAAAAAAATTCTCGTGTAAACGGTTATAAAAGCCGTAACGGTAAACTTAGATAAAATATTATACGAGAGGGAATAACGATGCAAATGTAACATTTAGTAAAAATTTAGTTAAAAAACTGATTATTTCGAAATTCATATAAAGATGGGTAGAACAGCTAAAAAAAAAGAAGATGGCAGGACAGAATAAGAAAAAACGGAAAAATACAGAAAGGTTGAGGTATATTTACCTATTGAAGTACCCACTGAGGGAGTTACCTCAGAGACAGCTTCCATCTAATGGTGATATTCTTAGATACTATCAATTTATCCTTCGCGAGTCACAAGTTAAATACAAACCCACTTCTACTAATGTTGGTTGCAAATTGAAATCGAAATCCATGGATCTTGTTTGTGAAAATGGTGTTTGTACAGATCCTGATAATTCTTGCTTGGTATCTAGGATTAAAAAAATTTGGGATAATGCTGGGTTTGGCAAGAAATTTGTGATTTGTGGGTACAATATAAAGACCAAAATCATTAAAATTAATTTAAAGTACAAGAAATTGATTAAATTGTCTTCTCTAAACTGGAAGAGCAGTCTTGATAAGCAATCAAAGTTAGAGAAAGATTTTCTCACAAAATCCTATCAGCTTTTTGACATCTCGACTAAGAATTTTAAAAAAGATATTCTTGCTGATAGATTGAGAACAGATGATGCCAAGCTGGAAGATATAAAGTAAGTTCATTAAATAACACTTTTTTTAGTAGTGAGATTTTTTTTCCAATTAAAAGTAACTTAAGTAATAGCATATTATTTCCTTTAAGATATTTACGTTTAACTCTTTACATGGTTTGGTCATCATCCAAGAAAAACTAGAACAATTATAAATTTATTTATAAATGGCTTAATAGATTTAAATATTTCTTAGTTTTTATGAAGACCAGAAGTTACATAGGAAAGGATATATGGAAACAAAAGTCAATGAAGACTACAGTAGAAGAATACTGGATGCAAACAGGAGAAAGAACAAGCTAGATAAGTTGAGAGAGAAAGAATAGAGAGACAGAAAAACTTAAAAGATATCAATGATGTTTTGTTGTCACATGATTCCATGACAGAAGAGATTCAATTCAGCAGTGAGGAAGAAAAGTCAAACGAGGACTCTGAAATCAGCGAGAAAGATGATTTCCTGGGTAACGGTTGGAAACGCAGGTATAGTATTATTTTAATAACATAGTTGTAATTTTCACAAGCTAAAGCTGTTTTATTGAAAAGTATATAATTATAAATAGGTAGAAAAATATTATAAAATGATACCTAGGTACAATTCTGGAGATAGGATAAATCTAGCAGTGAATGTTGAAAAGCTCATTGAATGTACTGCTATTCCAGCAACAAGGTTCAATGTTGGTGTACGACCTCATCTGGCAATTTTAAGTGAAGTATTTAAAGCTGGAGGTATAGAAATTAATGATATACCGCTTTCAAGAAGCACACTTCATAGTAAAAAGTTCAAATATGTAGAACTTGAAGGAGACTCGGAGTGGATTTCAATATCTAATCATCTTAAAGGCCGACGGCTTATTCTTCATTTTGATACCAAACTGTTGGAACAAATTACCACTGGGCTTAACATTATTTAAAAAATTGAGCGACTTGCAGTCTCAGTGAGTTCCCTGGATGACGATACCATGGAAGATCATCTTTTAGGTGTTGTTCAATGTCCCTCTTCAAAGGGAGTTGACCAAGCAGAACAAGTGCACAATCTTTTAGAATATTACGGATGTAAAGAGCAGATCATTGGTGTATGCTGTGATACAACTGCAAGCAATACAGGCGGAGTAAATGGAGCAGTCCAAATTCTTACAGATATTTTGAAATTACCAATTTTGTGGATAATGTGTAGGAGACACATATATGAAGTACATGTATCTCACTATATGGCTGCCCTTACTCGTGAGAAAACTAAAGGTCCAAGAAGAGCTCTTTGCGTCAAGCTAAAGAACAAGTGGCCTGAAATCTGTAAGAAAGTGAATGAAGTGAAAAATTTATGTAAATTGGACTGGCAAAGAGATGATCTGAAAATTGGCTCTGTTCTTCGCACTGTTGCAGAGGAAGCTAAGACATTTTTGACTAATGCAACTACTGATATAGTGTTTTCAAGGAATGATACTGGTATAGTTTGCAAGCTTGCCTCTTTCTTCCTTGGAGTGGAAGTACAAGATTTTAAGTTCCATCAACCTGGCGTCTGCCATAAGGCAAGGTTTTTAGCAGATGCGATCTACATCCTGACTCTTTATATGACTAAAGATATCAGTAATATCTCGACAGAAAAAGAAATGCTGCAGTTGAAGGATGCAAGTTTGTTCATTGCAATTTGCTATGTTCCATGGTTTTTAAAATTTTTTTTAGGATTTCTTGCTACTTACAATGATTTGAAAGCTATCCAGACAGCCTATGCATTGAGAAAAGTTAGTAAGAATATTGGAAATGCTTTGCTTCTCAGCATGGGACGCCATACGTGGTATTTAACTTCGCAACTCTGTGTTTTTTCCTTTGGGGATAAAGAAGTTCCTTCTGAAACAAAGCTAAGAATGCTGTTAGCTCTGATTGAGTTTGAAGAGCCAAATGAATTTCAGCGTTGTAAACCATCAAATGTACAAACTGGAGAGACCACAGAGCTACCTGAGTTGATTTCCGAGCAAAGCTACCTTCTCTTCAAACATTTTAAAATATCAAGAGCAAGTATAAAAGAATGGCTTAATAATAGTTTTAATACTATAAATGT